CATCTATGTAATTGGGATACGATGACAAGCATCAGGCCAGGGAGCATGACCATTCGATCCCATGTGTCACCTCTTGCAACATACTTAGCATTGGTTTCGGAAGACCAATTCTAACTTGGATCTACATTGGTACTTTAAGGAGGGAAGCTAAATTGTTGAATTTGACCTTGTAAACTTGAGCAAAATACAAAAACCTATTTCCCCTACCACTGACCCTGACAGGTAAAATACCGTCAAAGGGATGATCCATGATAAAAGTCCTCCTTCTAGAGACATCAGTGAAAAACCTCTTACATAAGTCGGAATAATTCCCCAATAACTGATGAGCACATCACAGGCTACTTCCCACCTGTTGGCGTCGTCCTGCTGTTTGTTTTGACCTGTGGCCAAGCCGACATCCAACTCTGGACCTCTAAACAAACACGATGATTTGGTGTCAGCTGACACACTCCTTCCAGTCAGATACAGGAGACTGAACAGTGAGTTTACTGATTGGAGAGGCCTTGGAGTTGAAGTGTCAGCTAGTGGTCGATAGTGTGAGCATCCAGCAGGATGACTGTCTTGTCATAGTCACAACCAATATTTTTGTTACATTATGATGACATATATAATGTGATCAGGATGTGATAAGGCAGTGCGTGATAGGTTAAACAGCTGTTCAAATCAGCCGAGTGTGAGACAAATCATCAGGCCACACCTGAGCGTGAGACAAATTGTTAGGCTTCACCTGAGCATGGGACACACAGTAAAAACACACCTGAGCATGAGCTACATGATCATGCTACACCTGAGAGTGAGACATATGGTCAGGCTACACCTGAGAGTGAGACACATGGTCAGGCCACACCTGAGAGTGAGACACATGGTCAGGCTACACCTGAGAGTGAGACACATGGTCAGGCCACACCTGAGAGTGAGACACATGGTCAGGCCACACCTGAGAGTGAGACACATGGTCAGGCCACACCTGAGTGTGAGACACATGGTCAGGCCACACCTGAGTGTGAGACACATGGTCAGGCCACACCTGAGAGTGAGACACATGGTCAGGTCACACCTGAGTGTGAGACACATGGTCAGGCCACACCTGAGAGTGAGACACATGGTCAGGCCACACCTGAGAGTGAGACACATGGTCAGGCCACACCTGAGAGTGAGACACATGGTCAGGCCACACCTGAGTGTGAGACACATGGTCAGGCCACACCTGAGAGTGAGACACATGGTCAGGCCACACCTGAGTGTGAGACACATGGTCAGGCCACACCTGAGTGTGAGACACATGGTCAGGCCACACCTGAGAGTGAGACACATGGTCAGACCACACCTGAGAGTGAGACACATGGTCAGGCCACACCTGAGGAGAGTGAGAGACAGGTCAGGCCACACCTGAGAGTGAGACACATGGTCAGGCCACACCTGAGAGTGAGACACATGGTCAGGTCACACCTGAGACATGGTCAGGCCACACCTGAGAGTGAGACACATGGTCAGGCCACACCTGGAGACACATGGTCAGGCCACACCTGAGAGTGAGACATGTCAGAGACACATGGTCAGGCCACACCTGGAGTCAGGTCAGGCCCACACCTGAGACACCTGAGAGTGAGACACATGGTCAGACCACACCTGAGAGTGAGACACATGGTCAGGTCACACCTGAGAGTGAGACATATGGTCAGGCCACACCTGAGAGAGAGACATATGGTCAGGCCACACCTGAGTGTGAGACATATGGTTGGGCCACACCTGAGAGTGAGACATATGGTCAGACCACACCTGAGTGAGACACATGGTCAGGCCACACCTGAGTGTGAGACATATGGTTGGGCCACACCTGAGAGTGAGACATATGGTCGGACCACACCTGAGAGTGAGACACATGGTCAGGACCACACCTGAGAGTGAGACACATGGTCAGGTCACACCTGAGAGTGAGACACATGGTCAGGCCACACCTGAGAGTGAGACATATGGTCAGGCCACACCTGAGAGGAGACACATGGTCAGACCACACCTGAGAGTGAGACACATCGTCAGACCACACCTGAGAGTGAGACACATGGTCAGACCACACCTGAGAGTGAGACACATGGTCAGGCCACACCTGAGTGTGAGACACATGGTCGGACCACACCTGAGAGTGAGACACATGGTCAGGCCACACCTAAGAGGTAGCCTTAACCAATCTAAAGAAAGCATCACAGGTGGCAACACACATACATTGTCAATACCAGATATTCAAGGTTGGATGCATGTTAATCTGGCATTTAATTTGCAGTTAGTCCATGCAGAGTAATTTATCAAAGGCACTGTTATCAAACAAAGGCACTGTTATCAAATGAAGACGGAGAGTATTGCATAATGAGCTGAATTCAGGAGCTGGACATGCATGATGAACCTGAAAACACAATGTGATGTTTTCCTGTAGACGTACTGGTAATGCATATCATCTTGTATTTGTGACCTTTGTTGTCAATGTGCGTCAATAAAACTCCTCCTTCTACTCATGTGGTGCATCTGACCTTTGTGTTAGATTCTGTGTTTGTGTTTGTTGTTTATTGACTAACTCAGCAATATTCCAGCTATAGATAACCAAGCTTGGACTACACCATCCAGAACTGACATCATTAACGGTGCCCACCATACAGCTAGAATATTGCTGAGTGCTGCGTTAAACAACAAATCATTAACAGCGAACATGTTAACAATGAACTGTTAACAATAACAAGTAGAGGATGTTAACAGTGAACTTGCTAACAATAACAGTGTTGTATGTTAACAGCAAACTTGTTAACAATAACAGTGTTGTAGGGGATGTTAACAGCAAACTTGTTAACAATAACAGTGGATGTTAACAGCAAACTTGTTAACAATAACAGTGTTGTAGGGATGTTAACAGTGAACTTGTTAACAATAACAGTGTTGTAGGGATGTTAACAGCGAACTTGTTAACAATAACAGTATTGTAGGGATGTTAACAGCGAACTTGTTAACAATAACAGTATTGTAGGGATGTTAACAGCAAACTTGTTAACAATAACAGTATTGTAGGGGATGTTAACAGCAAACTTGTTAACAATAACAGTATTGTAGGGGATGTTATGTTAACAGCAGTGTTGTAGGGGAAAACTTGTTAACAATAACAGTATTGTAGGGATGTTAACAGCTAACTTGTTAACAATAACAGTATTGTAGGGGATGTTAACAGCGAACTTGTTAACAATAACAGTATTGTAGGGATGTTAACAGCGAACTTGTTAACAATAACAGTATTGTAGGGGATGTTAACAGCGAACTTGTTAACAATAACAGTGTTGTAGGGATGTTAACAGCGAACTTGTTAACAATAACAGTGTTGTTAACTTGTTAACAATAACAGTGTTGTAGGGATGTTAACAGCAAACTTGTTAACAATAACAGGGTTGTAGGGGATGTTAACAGTGAACTTGTTAACAAATAACAGTATTGTAGGGATGTTACAGCAAACTTGTTTTAATAATGAACTTTGTTAACAATAACAGTGTTGTAGGGATGTTAACAGCGAACTTGTTAACAATAAGAATATTGTAGGGGATGTTAACAGTGAACTTGTTTACAATAAGAATATTGTAGGGGATGTTAACAGTGAACTTGTTAACAATAACAGTGTTGTAGGGATGTTAACAGCAAACTTGTTAACAATAACAGTGTTGTAGGGATGTTAACAGGTTTACAATAACAGTATTGTAGGGATGTTAACAGCAAACTTGTTAACAATAACAGTATTGTAGGGGGGGATGTTAACAGTGAACTTGTTAACAATAACAGTGTTGTAGGTAGGGATGTTAACGTTAATATTGTAGGAATGTTAACAAACTTGTTTACAATAAGAATATTGTATTGTTAACAGTGAACTTGTTAACAATAAGAGTGTTGTAGGCTAGGGGATGTTAACAGTGAACTTGTTAACAATAACAGTGTTGTAGGCTAGGGGATGTTAACAGTGAACTTGTTAACAATAACAGTGTTGTAGGCTAGGGGATGTTAACAGTGAACTTGTTAACAATAACAGTGTTGTAGGCTAGGGGATGTTAACAGTGAACTTGTTAACAATAACAGTGTTGTAGGCTAGGGGATGTTAACAGTGAACTTGTTAACAACAGGGATAACAGTGATGATGTCAACACTGAACATGTTGACAATAACGGTAGTGTAGGCGATAGTGTTGATGTTGATAGTGAACACATAACTAACAGCATATTCGTTGATGACAGTCAAGTTGACATTGAACCTGTTAACAATAACAGCAATGTACGTGATGGTGATGTTAACAGTGAACATAGTGTGTTGATATAAACTGTGACATACATGTTGGTGATAAATGCTGGAGAGTATACTGACAACAAAGACAAGGTAGTTGTCGATGATGTTGTATGAGAAACCTTGTTCCACTATTTATGTCCCACTTAAAATGGTATATATTCTACAACATAATAATAAACACTACATATTATACAAGGTTCATGTTCATGCATGGGTTCTGAAACCAGGAATATTATTTCGGTTCAGCAAAATCCACATCAACAGTTAAACATACATTTGGCCTACAGGACTTGTTAAATCTTTATACAACATCACCAGTATATGTATGTGTCATAACTTGAGCACACCAGCCATGCTGACTAGGTAACTGGAAATATCACAACTTTGTGGATATCAAATTAATTTACTCATCACAATATCACAGATTCAACTTCAAAATCAATGACATCATTTATCCAAATATTTACAATTTTCTTCATAAAACAATCAAGAAGAGGTCCCAATTTCGAAAGCATTTTGATCTTTAATTTAAAAAAACCCCAAATTATCACTTTTAACTACCCAAACCACACTTTGAAGAATAATGCTTCAGTTATTGCCAAGTGTCATTTAGAATAACAGTTTTTCCACATTCTATTTGTCAACATTTCCAGTCATCTGTTGGTAAACAACTGCAAGTCGCTTCTCATTGTTACCTTTTTGCCGCTGTTTTCAGCTTTCTGAAACCAATATGTTCTTATTATTAGGCAATGGTAATTATTTTATGTTGGGTTTAACAATATTGTCGTTAATATAATGTTTTAAAACATTTTTGGTAGCATTGTTAACAATCATGTAACATATTTGAAATATTTCATTTCATTCATCAATTCATGAATATACATTCATCATATAATAATTCGCGGAGTATATATGGTATAACGCTTAAAACAACATAACATTCAACAAACATTCAACAATCAAGTTTTCAGACACTTTAACACATTCCAAACAAGAATAAATTATAGAATAAAACAAAATTAGAGCAAATTTGAATGATGGAATGAATGGATCTCTCCAAAAACGCAACAGGTTCACAAAGACCTCAATGATTATTGCAAGTTGTTATAAATAATTGATTCCTTAATCATACATCAAGAGTGATGTCATCATCGCCAGAAACCATGTCACTGAACGCGAGGACACCAAACAAAGATGTCGACCTCATTTAACATAATCTACCAGTTAAACATTTTCTGCCGACACAAACAACAAACGTTTCTTTCATGGAGCTGAGGGTAACCCAATCTTTCCTTTCAAGCCAAATCAATGACAAAAATTTGACACCTCTCCGAAACCACGCTTCCAAAACCAGACGGATTACAATTCTGTCTCTCAACATACCTGATACAGAGCACTATATACATCTTTCTTGCCATTAGAAATTGTACTTTGTTCCTTTTGATCGCTCTCTTCCACCTCCGACATGGTTATATATCCCGAACGCAACTCTCCCAAGAATCACAGAATTTCGCATGTATTATGCGTCTCATTCGAAGCCTACTGCCTGATTACTCATTTCTGCAACGGTGACCTGAACTAGCCTAGAATCTGTCTTACCCAGTCCCCCATCTGCGAGTGACTATTGATTTTCTCCTCTCTCTACTCTGTCCTATTATATGCTTAAAATTGGCTCCCACACAAAGAAATGTATCTACATCTTGAATTTGACATGGAAAATATGGACCTAAGAATATTTTTTTTCCATTAGTTGTTTGTTTGCATGAGAGTGTTTCTTTGTCTCTTCGACTGTCCTATTGACAGCCTTGTTGGACGTGTTGAATGTGCAAGAGACCCGGGTCGCTCGGGGTATAATTAGTTTCAACAATGGGACAATAGCAGGTTATCATTTTGAAACTGCTTTGTTAGATTTTTTTTCCAGACGCTAAAGTAAAGCTGTGAATAATTGCAAAAGTTAATATTCTCCCATAAAGGGTAATACATTTTGCATGATTTAATCAGTTTCCTGAAGTTTCAAAACCCAAACCAAGGTCGCGGCAACTTTGCGTTGGTGTCTATGCCATGGGAGACAGCTCTGCAGATGAAAAAAGTCACTTATTCCGAGCTGCTTATTAAGCCTGCAGACCTTGCAGTCAAAACATGGGTCATCAGTCTGCATGAGTGTAAGCCTGACACAAACCGAGTTGCACTCCCTAACGACAGTCTCACCTTATAAGGAACTTAACATGTGCTTCCTATTAAATATTCAAGATTCAAGTTACTAAATTATGAGGATGGAACTCTGGATCATCAAATTAGCAGCCTAACACCATGTTTCATAGACAAGTGCGCATACATGTTTCCTACACACTTGAGTCACTGTATGTGCCCTCTTTGAGGCCAGTTGCTGTAAAACATATCTATAAGGACATTCTGACTATTTTCTTGTCACAACTGCTCCTATTGTAGATCCCAAGACATGATTAAAATGATTAAAGTCCTACAACAGTCATGAATAAATCCTATACTAAACACCATCTTCCATTATCAGAGAAATTGTTGTAAAATTATTAATTATCAAAGTTATACAATCATTTTAACAACTTTCGAAATTCATGTCTTTTTAAAGACAAGGCTAGATGACTAGGTGAAAACTTTTGAAGAACCTCACTTTACATCTAGCCCTGAATTGAAGGAAACAGAAATGTATGTACATGTTTCCATATAATATCAAATTTCATTCAGTTCAATTTGTTTCAAAATTGAGAATCAGCGGGTAGCCCCATTGTTAAAATTTTATCTTCACACCAAAGATACAGGGTGAATTACCCTCAAGGGTAGTATGCATGAAGCCCATTTCTGGTGTCCCCTGTGTGATATTTCAGAAATATTGCTGCAAGTGACATAAAATCCAACCCAATGAAGTCAAGGCCTTCCCAAGGCGCAGAAGGTGCAAGCTCATGGATAAAGGGGAGCACAATGACTGAGACCCCCCAACAAAGTCAACAAAGGATACACGCTGACTGCAGCATCAAGTTGTGTGGATCTCACAAACTGTGGAGCTGTGTGGGTCTTGAGCATGGATATTAAGAGGTCATTGTCACAGCAGATTCACATATTATTTACTTCTGTTTGTCAGTTTTTTAACACCACACTCAGCAATATATCAGCCTTATGGCAGCTGTCTGTAAATAATTAAATCTGGACCAGACAATCCAGTGATCAACAGTATGAACATCAATGTACACAACTGGGATACGATGACATGTGTCAACCAAGTCAGAAAGCTTGACCATCAGATCCCGTTAGTCGCCTCTTACAAGCATGGGATACTGGCGAAGGAGTTTGACAGATCTTTATTTACTAACTTATATTAAAACACTGCAGTGTTAACATCGTTATATTGCACAGTTAGATGTGCTGAAGATTGATTCTGGTGACCTGTACATCATCAAGCATAAGGCCCCCTCAAAAATATATATGTGTGTTTAGGGTAACATGAAATTACAAAACAGGGTTGGTAGGTAGGGTTTATCTTTGTTTTTCCTTCTTACATTTTTTTTTTAAAATGCACTCTCATATTTTTCATAAAATCACATATTTATGTAATATCAGGGACCACTTTTGAAAGAAAAGAGGGGAAACCAGTTTAAAATTTTAATAACTGAAGCATCGACAAATTCTAAATTCAACATTTATGAAAAACAAGAGTAAGTGAGCACAGGTCACATATGGTCACCCCCAAAATTGGGGAGTACATAGTGTTGGAATAGCAAAATGTTTCACCTTCTTTTTTTAAAAAAACAAAGAAAGAAAAAAGTTTAGGGTTGGGAAGTTTGTGATGGGGTTGGTAGGGAAACCGTAAACACACACATATTTTTTTTGGCTTAAGGCATGTGAACTAGTGACCGACATCATGAACAACAATCCACAGTCCGTGTACAGCAACACACAACCAACCAGCACAAATCACATCTTTATGTATTACCTGACACAATGTCAACATAATTTTGTACGTTTGTAATAATTTAGGTACACACACACTTATTCACACTGGGAACTGGTACTTCTGCTTGTGTATTCAGCATATATTTATACTCCCTTTGGACTTATATTAGGTATTTGTATACCTATCAGAGTACAATCTCTAAAATAATTCTGCTTTAAACGCTGTTCAATGACTAATTTGCATATGACCGCCTCCGTGGTGTAGTGGTTAGAGCGTCCGCCAAAGAGGAAGGTCGCGGGTTCAATCCCCGACCACGTCAAACCAAAAGACGTTAAAATATGGTACTAATTGGTCCCTGCCTGGCCCTCGGCATTAATGGGTACAACAAGGACTGGTCGGCTCGGAATCAGTATAATGTGTCTGAGTGGGGTATTCATGCTTCACTGCGGCATGGTATCTCAGTGGGCTAGCACTATAAAACTAGCTTAAGTCTGGGCTAGTACAAGCAGCCGCACATACACATACACACGCATGCACGTCGTCATATGAGCGAAATATTCTCAAGCACGACGTAAAACCCAATTTCACCTCACCTCACCTAATTTGCATATGTTTATGTGTTGAGCCACGTGTTTAGCTTGTTGAATTTACCATACATACGTAATTAACAATAAACCATTACCGCTGGCTGAAAAGATTGAGAACCAGAAATATCGGCAATGAAAAGAATTATCAGTGATTATCTATATGAAAATTTTCATCGATAACAATATACTTAAACTTTTGAGATTAAAATTGAACTTAGTCCAAACTTCATAACTGAAACATTTTCAGTAATAGTCACTTGCTCATTGTCCCCAATCAGGTGTTCTGCTTTCTGTCAGTGAGTGAGTATGGTTTTATGCCACTTTTAGAAATATTCCAGCAACATCACGCCAGGGTCACTAGAAATGGGACTCACACACTGTACACATGAAGGGAATCAAGATAGGGCCCCATCGCCCCAGTCAGTGATTTGAGTACAGGGATTATAATATGGCAAATATGGATTACATATTACATACAAATGATTACATACTCAGTATGACCAGGGGAATTTGAGATATGTCCTCCAAGTATTTCATAACAACTGGGGTAACTATTTCCTGTTTCATTCATCAGCTGACATGCGTATCCGTAGTTGGGTGTTATCGCTGGACACCAAGCTGCCCAGTGAATACAGCTTTTGTTCCGGTGTTGGTCACGACAATTAACAGCTATAGGACTCCCCATGATCTTAATTTACTTCCTTACGAAACATACCAAAGGGCTGTAAATATACCCAACCTGCTTGATTTTAATTCTAGCTGTTTTTATCAATATAGTGGGGGACACCAGAAATGGGCCCATGTACCCATGTGGGGAATCGAACCCGGGGTGTGAAGCCCATTTCTGGTGCACACCTGGATATTGCTTGAAAATGCTCATCACTATTTCTTAGAATGTTCTTTACACAACCAACATATAAAGATCATGCTTAAAGCTAGTCAAGATGTATGTGGTAGTAATTCTGTGATTACATTATCTGTTATTTTAAACGGCATTGCAGATCTGACAAATCATAAAAATGAAATTATATTCAAAAATGTACATCAATATATATGCAAATCTAAACGATTCCAGTAGTCTTCTCTCTATACACCTTTTGTATTATAGCATTTCCCCCTGTTATCTTTCAGTCTTTCTCTGTCTCTGTTTCTAATAATTGCTTGTGATGTAATTAGTTATTGTAAATATCTTTGGAGAGGGGTT